CCCCCCCACTGCTGACAAGATGACTGCCCCTCTGTGTGCCTGGGCTGTAGCTGTAGTTGTAGGGAGCCCCTGGGCCTGAGGTGGGGTGGGCAGTTCTAAGATCTCTCTGGATTCTCATATTAGCCCCATCCAGGCAGGGTACAAGGAAGGCCTCGGGCACTATTTGCGAATAAGAGAGGGGAAGACAGGGTAGCAGGGGAGGCAAAGGATGGAGAGGGGCCTGGGGCTGGCAAAGGTCAGGGCCCTAGAGGTAGACTTGTCACTGCCCCCAGGCCTGTGACACCTCCTCTGGCCACCATCCCAACCCGGTGAGAGGGGTCACCAGCACGCCCCTGCGGTCCCTGTCCAGGTTTCTGGGAGAGCTCTGCAGCCCCTTTGTAAGTCCCGTAGCTCCTTGAATTAAGGCTCCAAAGATCCAATACCCCACCTGGCCCAGGGAGCACAGCTTGACCAGTGTTGTTTTCGGCAAGAGGAGGTTGAAAGTGTTGGTAGAGCTGAACCCTGGCAATGGGCCCTTTCCACTCGACCAAACTGGCAGTGAGAAAACTGGGACCTGGAGAGGGTGAGCAATCTGCCCCACACAGCCTTGTGCCAGGAGGAGGCTGGCAGGGCCTGAGGAGGGGTGGGGTGGGGCTTGACTGGGTAGAAGAGGTGGGAATGAGGGTCAAGGGCACCGTGGCTGGGGGTGAGCTGGCACAGAGGGGAGACTGGTTCATGACTTTGGCTTCAGAGGGGAGCAGGAGAGAAGGCTGCTTTTGAGGAGGCTGGAAATTAGCAGGGGGGGACATGAGGGCCACCAGGCAGACACCGAGGCTACCAGTGTCCCAAGCCAGGGGGCTGAGGCACGCACTGGGCAACGGGACGGCCAAGCATGGAAAGGCTTAGAGAGAAGACTGTCAGTTGGGGTGGGCTCCAGGACAGAGCTGAGGCGGGCAGGGAACCACGTGGCAGAGGGGAGAGGTGGTCAGGGCAGGAGCGCTGACACTGAAGCATCCTGGAGGCAGGAGGGAGAGGCTCCTGTTTTGGAGGCTCTGAGCCTGCAGATGAGCTCACACCTGCCTGCTGCCAGGCATGTCCCAACAGGGCCCTTGTACAGAAGCTGGCTGCTTTGCATCACCGGAACAACTGCCTGCAGCTCCCGGGGAGACCCCACCCTGCCATGGGCGCCATGTGCGCCATGGGCTCCTGGACAGAGGTTGCACTGTCAGCCAAGCTAAGCACCAGAAGGCTGGGCCCTCAACCTGCAGAGTGGGAGGCTCAGTGGGAGGCAGGAAGGGGTACCCAGGAGAGGGGGAAACAGACATATGCACACTTGGGGGCCAGCTCCTCATCCGTGCTGAGTTAACACCAAAGGACTCCCGGTACTGGCCAAGCATGGGGACGGAGGGCTGGGCCAGACACAGCCCCCGCTGCCCCCATGGGGAAGGGCACGGGGAGACAAGTTGGACCTATTAAGGGGCCACGTGTTCTGTGACAGAATCTAGCAATAGTCCCCTGTAGGAGGCGTTGAGGGGAGAGGGACTCATTCCCTGTCAAAGGTATCAGGGAGGGCTGATGAGGGGACTCTTGGGGTGAGTCATCGAGGTAATGAGGGGACAAAGGGCTAGGAGAAAGGTAGAAGCTCAGTTGGGCCAGGGGCGCAGGGGCCAGAGGGACAGCTTTGGCTTGGGGCCTCTGGAGCAGTGGGAATCAGCAGCAGTGCTAGGGGCTCAGGTCTGGGGAAGAAAGAAAGATCTCTGGGATGGTTGGGGGAGGGCGCCTTCCTTCAGAGATGTGGCTCAGGGCAGGGGATGCATCCAGGATGAGGGGAGGACTGTGAAGGGTGGCCTGGAGAGCAGTGTGGGAGGTGGGATGGACAAAATATTCTGGCCTCTTCTCTCCTTACTGGCACCCTCCTTTCTCCAACTGACAAACTCCTATTCATCCCTTAAAGCCCAAGACTGGTGGGGCCTCACGGGCTGGTCATGCAGGTGGGGAAGCCCACTTCTCAGCCCTGCCTGGTGCCAGCACCCACCCAACATACCGTCCCACCAGCAGCAGCTCCCGCTCGCTAACACGAGGCCGCAGCCGCCTCCAGACGTCCATGGTGAAGAGGGTGCTGCTGCTGTTGAAGATGGAGGTCAGCGAGGACATGAGAGCAGCCATCATCACTGCGACCATCAGGCCCCGCAGACCTGCAGGTCAGAGACACTGCTGGGCCCCTGCCTGGCCCGCGCCCCAACACTGCCCCCACCCCGTACCCCTCCTGCCTGTGTCCTCTGTGCGAGGCCCATCTCAGCACCTCGTGGCTGAGTGCCACCCACAAGTCCCTGCCAGCACGGGGCCAGGTGTTTGAGGTGGTGGGAGAGAGACCCAAAGTCAGGAGGCTGGAGAGACCAAGGACAAGCTGTGAGGACCTCTGAATGCTTCTTGAGCCTGTGGCTTGCTGGTAAAGATGGTCACACCGTGACTTCTCCATTGTCGCTGGTGCTGTCATCAGCCTTCCTTTCTACAGAGCCCCATAGCTGACAAAGCACCGTCCCACCCAGGGCTTCATCTGATGAGGATTATTCACCCATTTGCCGGATGAGAAAGTGAATGTTCAGAGAGGGGAAGACAGGTGCCCAGGGACCGCAGCAGGCCAGAGGCAGAACTCTGGGGAGTGGGGGGAATGAGGAAGGCCTGGGGTGGGACCCTCGGCTTGGAGGTCACACCCCGGGCAGGGCGCCGTGGGCAGCCTTTGGGCCTTCCTATGTGTGGCAGGCCCTAGCAGGCACAGGGGGTTCCCTTTCTTGGCTCTGTGGAAGACGAGATGCAGTTCCCCATGGGGAATAGAAATATCCACCTGCTGATTGGCTGAAGACGAGTGGGGGGGTCCCCCTCGAGGTGGGTGAGGCACTGCAGTGCAAAGCCTTCCAGGAGTCCTGGGCCCGAGAGGGGCTGGGAGGGGGAAGACTCAGGGCTCGGTGGCTTCGGGCTGGTCACCTCCTCGTGCTGGGTCTTGTGCTTTTCCTTCAAGTATCTAAACACCCTCCCACCCCCACTGCCATGCCCACAGTTTCCCTGTCTGCCCTCCACCCCTGCCCTAGGATAAATCTGACAGGGCCCCTTCCAGAGGGCTCAGCCTTACAGGTACATTTGTTGCCTGGCACGGGTTCTGCACCTAACCAGCTGCGTGATGTCCAGGCACCCAGGGTCCTCGCTGTTCGTGTGTCAGGCTGACTGGGATGGGGCTCGAAGGAAAGTGAGTTCAGAAAACATTTCTCCGCCCTCTTTTTCTTGCTCAGAGAGGGGAGTTAATTCAGGGCATATTTTCCGCCCACTTTTCAGGCAGGAGATCAAGACCTAGACAGGGGTTGTGGCCCAATAACAGTTGGGTGTCAGTGCTGGGGGGTTAGGAGGCCCCCTTAACAGAAGGAGAAGGCAAGGCCCAGAGGTGGAAACCCTCACTGCAGCCAAGGCCTGCACCAGGCAGTTTCCCCGAATTACTGTGGTTAATCCCAGCCACAACGCTGAGGGGTGGGTATGTGTCATTATCTCCAATTTACAAATGAGGACACTGAAGCTCTGAGCAGGGAAATGGCATGCCCCACATATCTCAGCCAACAAGTGGCAGAGCCAAGATCTGATCCCAGCTCTGTGCACTCACATCCCCTGGGCCCGGGCTCCCTGGGCGGGAGGAAGAGCGGGCAGGCCAGCAGCTTCCAGGGAGGCCAAGGGAGGGAGGTGCAGACTCCAGGGTCTGAGAATGCAGAAACGACGCTGGTGTCAGAAAGCTGTCTCATCCCTTTGCTTAGGTGGAACCTCCCACACCCTTGCTGTTGCTTTGTTGCACCTTTCCTGTGACTGGGACCTCATAACCCAGCATCACACTGGCAGGACCAAGCTGACATGAGAAACATGGAAAAAGCCAAAACCTGGCCCCTAGAGTCCCCGCTGGCCCACAGAGTGTCGGGGAGGCTGGGGCTCCCGGTCCCGGCAGAGTAAGCAGTGGCCTTGGGGACAGACTGGGTTTGTGCCTCAGCCACTCTGTAGCCTTGGACGAGCACTCCTCACCCTGTGCCTCAGTTTCCGTATCTGTAAGATGCAGCTAATAACTCTACCTCATAGCCTTAAAGGAGAGGAAGAGTTTGTAACAGCGGTTGGTACCCTTTCTCGGGACAGACAACACGGGTTGAGAGGACGAGCACTGCAGGCAGAGTAGCCAGGCTCAGGTCCCAGCTTTGCAGCTCACTTGCCATGCGACCTTGACCATGTCACTCAACTTCTCTGGGCCTTAGTTCCCCCATCTCTAAAATGGGAATAACAATGGCACGTGGGGTTCCTGAGGGAAGGACGCAGGCTACTCGCATGGATGCCCTTGGAGCAGTGCCTGGCGTGCGGTGAGCGCCAGGTGTCTGTTTTCTACCATTACCTTCCTCTCTTCCCACCTGGATGTCACACAGCATCACAGTGGATCCAGAAGGGCCCCCACAGCCCCTCATTGGTCCCCCCAGGCCCCCCAGAGCCTCACCGATGGGCATCAGTTCCATGACCAGCTTGGGGTAGGCAATGTTGGAGCAGCCAATCTCGGCCCCGCAGGCCCGCAGGCACTCGGCCGGCGTCACGCAGCCCACGTCATCTGTGTGAGAGAGGTGCCTGGGTTCCACACCCGTCACACTGCCCCTTCAGACAGATGGAGGGCTCTCACTGCGCGAGGGGTGGGGGCGCCCATCACTCCTGCCCCGCTTTCTCCGGTGGCTGCCTAGCCCCGGCCCTCAGGGCTCCTCTCCTCCCTTGCTCCCCTCTGGCCAGGTGCCAGCAGCTGGCCTCCCTGCCCTGTCTCCACCGGCCTCCCTCTCAGCTCAGGCCTCTCGGCCCCTCTGGCCAGGTGGCTCTCCCAGGCCTTCCCAGCATGGCTGCTGTGCTGAAATCCCCCCTGCTCTCCTGCCACCTCCTCTCGCAAGGCTCTTCTTCGCCCTGGATGACTTGGGCATGTTTGTTTCTTCCCTCTCCCGTGGCGGGGAGTCCAGTAAGGTTGAGGACTCGGGCCCGCTGTGGCTGTCTCCCCAGCAGCTGGGACAGCCACACAGCTCACCTGGTGAGTGAATGAAGGAGTTAGTGGGTGTCTGGCCTCAGCCCAGACCTGCACTGGACCTAAATTCAGGCTTCCCAGCAAGCCGCCAGAGCAGGGAGTCCCCCGGGAGCCTCGCTCTGGCTCTGATGCCATGGGGGCGTCCAGCTCTGCCTGGCTCACAGCACAGTGTGACAAGTAGCACCAACCCCATGTTCACGTGTTCCTCCAGGAAACACTTTTTAAAACCCCTTTGGCTCCATTCCTCTGGGATTTTCAGTGGAGGCCCATGGAATGTGGAACAGAGGAGGGGAATGGCCATCACAGGAGAGCTGAGAGCAGAAGCTGACCCGTGGTGACCAGGAGGGATGGGAATGGAGCTTCTGGGCCACGGAAGCCTGCTCGGGGCTGAGTGAGTAGGTGGGTACAGTTCCCATACCGCAGGCATCACTGTTCCCAGGCCTTGTGCTCCCTGTGCAGACAGGGCACTCCTGCGTTAAGCACTACCTCGTCCAAATGCCCCTACTGAAAGGCCCCTCCATAGATGCCCAGCCTCAGGGGCAGGTGTGTCTCAGATCCCTTCCTCGGTCACAAGAGCTGGAGCAGTCATCCCTACCCCATGACCCTACATCCCAGGCCAGGCCAGGCTG